TTTCGCTGAGCTAGTGGAGACGGTAAATTTAGATACTAGGAAAGGCTAAAATATCAAGCAGGTACCTCAAGAATGTCTGACAAGGTGAAAAAATCTCTACAAATTTCCAGAATATGATAAAAATAACCATATGGACAAAAGTTAGATAAGTTGAAAATTTGAAACTGTGTCATTTCATTTCTCTTACAAATTTTGAAACTTCAATTATTTGCCTATCTGTATTTGACAAACATCAAGGCCTTTGTCTTATTTCTGTAGGCACTTTCATGTCGCGTTGTGCTCATGTCTTTGAGTCTGTAACAGAAGAATCTTGATTTCCTGCTTAACCCAGGAAATTTCAAGAAGACGTTTCCACTACTCTCACTTGTAATGTTGGTGACAGTTTATTGAGATATGAAGCATTTTTTCAGAGCCTGTTTTTCTGACACATTGGATTTTGGATCAATCATACTATAGGAAAAAAGTGTATGTTGGTGAGTTTTCTAGGAGCTTAGCATTTGCTCTGTTTACTGAATTGACAGCTTTCCTCCTTGGGTTGGAAAAATCTGTTTAGGTTGGGTTTAAGAGCAAAATATGTAATCACTTTGTAGGAGCTTAAACTGAAATCGCTGTTTTCATTCTTACGTGCTGCAATCTTGCTTGCAAAGAAACTGGGAAACACCAACCTCAGAGTAGAACTGTTTTTAGAACTTGGCAATGTCTAATAACCTCAGATTGTTTTCCCCTCTTGCTCCATTCATTTAAATTCTTTTGAAATCATAATACTTCAAATCACAGGCAGAAATTTTTGAGTGCCATTGAATGTAAAATCTATTTTTTATTAATTTTGAGTACTTGAGAATTAATAGGTTATCCTCAGGATGCTGAACTTGCAAAGCAGAATGCCTTTAAGCAATGCCAGGGAGTATCAGTTGAAGTTTACAGTTATATCTGTTTGGCTGTGCTGATAAATTATTTGTATCATTCAAAGGCAAGAAAATGAATGTACTTCCCAAAACATTAGTACAAGTAGCTTTGTTAACATTAGACAAACATTGCTAGGTCCATCTACAATGAGCTTACTGATACTGGTGTCTGGGAGACCTGGGTTCAGGCCTGGGTCTTACACTTCCAGAACTTGCATCCTTATTCCCCTTTGGACCTGAGGTGTGTGAACTTGCAGAGCTGCATTAACCTCAGGCGGGAAACACTGGCAAATGGTTTCCTGAAGCTTTCAGGAACAGAATTGCTTCTGAGACCCTTACCTCTTCCTTAGGTTTGATTACAATCAGTAATAGGTGCCATATTTTTGAGAGAACACATACAGCTGTCTACAAAGAATACTTGCATAAGCTTTATAAATTATCTCTGCACCAGTTGGCTGTTTTTCACTGAGACTTTTAACTTCCCTTATCAACTGCCTGCATTTCATGAGGCATGTGATAACCATGTAGGTTTACTGCTGCCATGCAGAATATCTAATGCTCGAGTTCTACCTGGTTTTTTGGCAACATATATCATCTTCCAGGACTCCAATTTTCCTGAAATTTGTTGCAACTTAATCAGTGAGTCCTTTATCTTTCTGTCAAATTTAGGTAATCCTGATTCAAGTTTGAAATCCTTTGGGCAAGCGGTCAGGATGTACAGAAAAAAGCAAGGTTTCTGTAACCTCACTATCTTTGTGTCATTTTATAGGAATCTCACTGTTCTAACAGATTCTCCTGTTGCAGTTAGGTATAATAGTATAATAGTATTCTGCATAGTATGATTGGGTGTAAGTTCTTTAACGTATGGCAGTATTTTGTCTTTAACTTTTGAATGCCAAATTGAGCTTAATCAGCATTTGAGACTACTACAATGCCCAAAAGCTTCCATTAATCCTGTTTCCTAAGGACCTCAGATATATCTTGGTAACTTGGAAATTACATGGTGAATATGGGCTCTTCTGGGATTGAATTAACAGTATTTTATACAACAAAATGTGTAAAGGGAAGATGTGGACAGTCTTAAGATGCAATAATCCTATATACTTCATGCTCATCTAAAAGTACAAAGGATATTTTGTGAGCCAGAATATTCCGAGATATTTGAAATGCTTTCTTGTGAGGACTTCTAAAACTTTAAAACAAAGAGCTAAAGCAAAGTGAAATTAAATGTGAAATTTGTTTTCTGCCTACCTTGTCAAAAAATTGAGCCATTTGTACTCTATTTCATTTTGTGCTAACAAGTGACTCCTTCACAATATACAACTCTTTGGAACAATTTGAAGTTGATGTAACAAAATTTGTCATACTGATAAGAAAAATAAGTTCATGGTACTGGAGAGAAAACTGTAATTAAACCATCTAGTTAGGAGTGGGAAAGTTCTGGGCTTATACCCTTTCTGCTATGGACTTTTTATTCAATTTATCCCCTTATATATAAAATATAAAGCCTCTCACAGGAATGGGACTTAGATGCTCCTGACTGAGCATCCTAACCACTTAACTAAAGCCACTTGCTGTTGATGAGTGACAAAACTTGAGCAGCATGGCTGGAGAGGTTACCCTTTCTTCCACAGTTTCAAGCCTGTCTGACAAAGCATTGCTCTGAGTCATGAGTTTTAAGTAGCCCTGGACTGAGAAAGACATACAGTTCTCTGTAGTCCAATGCAAGTGTTATAACCATTAGGGCATTATGTAGAACAGCCTCAGATGTTTAATGCTTGAAATCCATAGTTTGACGGCTAGCACACTTTTATTTTTTGACACAACCTGGTATCAATACACATCACTGATGGATTTCAGAATTAGTTGCATCTGCCCTTTATTATTTGACATGCCTAGTTTATTTGCTTAAATCAGTCACCAAGCGCAGAAAGGAGGGCTGAAAAGGAAACTGGAGGTATCTTCTTGTTAATTTACCTGTTTCTTTCTTCATAATGAAATCAATGAAAGTAATATATCAGCAAATAGCATGGTGCTATCAAACCTCAAGAAGAGTTCCATGTGTTTTTGTAGCATTGCAAGTTAAGCTCTCAAGTATATATCTCACCCTATCCCTATCAGCCCCATGCTCTGTGCTTCACGAGTACTTGCTGCGGAGCTTGAGACGTCTCCTTGCAGAATTTAACTGCACACTGGAACTTTTAACCCAGAGAGGGTGGTAAGACTTTCTCCTCTGCTCTTTTACCCCACCACAATCTCTGCTTCTAGCCATACCCCACCTTAGACCCATGGTCTTCTACCAACTCTGTGTAGCATTTTTGGTTTGCTCTTGTGTTTTTGTGTGAAAAGCCCTTCCAGGTAGATAGCGGGCACAACTTGTCTCTTGCTTGTTCTCTCTCATTGATGTAGATAGCACAACCCCAGCATTTAGGGAAGAAAAGGTTTTGAAGAACCAGCAACAGTTAGTCTGATTCTACCTGATTCAAAGGCAGGGTCATCTACATATAAATCATTCTTGACAGAAACTCCTCAACATGCCTAGGTAATTTTGTGAAAGTGTGCCACTAATTCTGCCTACCAATTTGCATCCTACAAGATTATTTTATAGACTTCAGAGATTTTTTTTTAATGACTGACAATTATTTTAAGACTCTTTCTTTTGAGAATCTGTTCAGCTTTACAACATAAATATATTTTGTATGCTTTCATAGATTCATAGATTGTTAAGGGGTTGGAATGGACCTTATAGATCATCCAGTCCCAACCCCCTGCCACGGGCAGGGACACCTCCCCACTAGACCAGGATACTCAAGACTTCATCCAGCCTGACTTTGAACACTGCCTCCTTGGGCAACCTGTGCCAGTGTCTCACCATCCTCACAGGAAAAATTTTTTTCCTGATATCTAACCTAAATTTCCCCTCTGTCAGTTTGTACCCATTACCCCTTGTCCTATCACTGCAGTTCCTAACAAAGAGTCCCTCTTCAGCTCCCCTCTAGGCCCTTCAGATACTGGAAGGCTGCTATGAGGTCTCCACACAACCTTCTCTTCTCCAGGCTGAACATTGTAAATATTGTGTATTTTAAATACATCAAGCAAGACTAAACTTTCCCCTTGCATAACTAATGGATATTTTCATGGCCTGTTGATAAATTTCAGCAAAACTGTTTAATTTTAACCATTTAAAAGGTTTATTCTGTAAATGTGAATATTTCAAATATAATTAGCAATAATAAAACTTAACTACCTCAATTTATTTTAGTGTAAAAATAAACTCAAATTATCAGAAGTTATAAGAAGTTTTCAAAGAAATCTCAAAAGGTCATTAATAAATCAGGTAAAGTTGTTTTGAAGGACCTTTCATGACTTAAAAATGCCATGAAGAAATTCAAGTCACGGACAAAACCAACATGATTGGGAAGATCATGCTCTTTCACTTACCCTGGAGCAGTGCTTATACATCAAAGTTATTTCTCTCAACTTTACATTGTGTGAGTCTTTTCTGTTGTTTCCTTCTCCCATTTTCTGAAGAAATCAGTTTCTCAAAAAGTAACATCACTGAATAAACAACTAAAACCTACTTTGTTTTAATGCTGAAATCAGAGTTTAATTCATACTAAACAAAGATTTCATGTTGTGAAGTTGGAAGGAACCCTTGTGATCATCTAGTCACATACAGATTTTTCATCTGTGTGACTGCTTTGAGTGAACTCCTTTGTCCACTAGAGCTATATTTCTGAAGAATCCCCTCAGCAATAGTATTTATTTGAGCTTTAATTCAAGCTCTAGTGGTACTGTGTGTAGTTCCTCAATTATATTTACCTGAAATATGTACCTAAGACCGCTGAGAGTTCCCTTATTGTCTCATCCATTACAGCTGGAATTCCCTCTTAGGTCAGAACAAATTGAAGTATTATGAATTAGACCTGGTACAAAAAGTAAATCTGAAGGGCTTTGTGTGTATGCTTATATGTGTAAATAGTTTTGGGGTTTTTTTAAGTTAAAAGCCAGAGTTTTCTACCTATCTTATTGTATGATTCCAATTATTTGAAGACAATGGCATCTGAGACTTCAAATGATGTTTCTGTATTCGAGGTTGATGGCAGCAGTGAAGAGCTGCAGGATCCTCCTACTTCAGTCTTGGAAAGAATTTAAGAAAGGAAGTCAGAGAATGAAAGTAGATCAGCTGTGCATAATAGGGACAAGCAAACAGGGATCCCCCCCTCCCTGGGGAATGTTTTGGAGCACATCGTGGGGCAGCTGGATGTTTTAACTCTAGTAAGTATGGAATAACTGGTAACACTTGCAGTGGAAAATGGCAATGCTGTCAATGTCCAAAAAACCCCAGGAACCATGTTCATAAATCAGAACATTAAAGACTATGGGGTTATTTTGAATAGTTGTATAGTCAGTGACTGTTTTGGTATTTTCCTTCCAGCAAATATTGATCACGTATATTGTGTTTGCTAAAGCAAAAGCTTCCTGACACAATTATAAAGATTATAGTTGTCTTTTTAACTCTGAAGGATGAGAATCACTATTTTTCAGTACTGAGATCTAGCATAAAGTTGTCAGAAGCCAGTTGTTTAGCAGAAATTGTCAGATTCCAACTTGAAAAATCATGCTTTAGCAGGGAATAAACAAAGTATATTGGCAATGTACCATTAAATCCCTTTTCAAACTTAGTGTTCGAGGTGTGGGCTTAGGTAGGAATCAAAGCAGTGGAATAATTCCTAGTGTCAGTGAAACTGCACAAATACTAGTGTCACTCAGTGGCTCTGAGTCTCTTGTTTGCATATGCTCAATACTTCTTTTTAATAATTCAGATTTAGCCAACCTGTGTTTCAAGATACAACTCTGCAGTGTTGTGATATATTAACATTAAACCAAATCAAAAGGGAGTGGCTGAGTGGGGGGCTTTTGGCATTCTTTTGTAATATAGGTCTTAAGTACAGAAATAGGTTATGGGAAGTATGGAATCAAGTCATCAGTTGAAAATTATTTGTGTATAAATTGAATTAAGAAGAAACTGCCAGTCTGACTCCAATAAACTACCTTCTTTGAGGAATATAATTTCTTAGAGAATGCCTTTTAGTAGTATATTCTTTTCTCACCTCCTTTTTTGGGTGAGGTGCCTTAAAAGCTTCTTCTAGGTTTTTGGAAGACATCATTTGATGTCACCAGTGATGGCTATTTCTCTGTTGAAATATGGATGCAGCTTTCACATAGTATTTTGGAGTAACTGAAATTATGCATGTATGTATTTCTCTCAGAGAAAATCTTTTATGAAAACAATTTAAAACCTTTAGACAATCTCCATGGATACCTAGCCATAATTTTTAAATACAGCTGTAAATAGTGTAATAGCTAAGGAGAAGCTCTCTTAGGATACTTTTTTCCTGTTGAGTTAAAATTACTTCTCTTGTTTTACTGTGTTGCAGACTTTTGTAATACCATGTGAGTAATATAAAACTAATTGAACTTACTGACCTCTTCATGCAGACTATTTCAATCCTGGAACAACGTCTGACTTTGACTGAAGATAAACTGAAAGAATGCATAGAAGGTCAGCAAAACTTCAGGAAAGACGGGACGAATAAAAGCTGAAAACGAACTATATTGATGAATATGTTGCATAAATTCACAAGGAATGTTTCTTCAATGGAATTTGCTATGAGCAAAAAAAACCTGAAGTTGATGTAAGAAAAACTGAAGAAATAAAAAAAAGTTTTAAACTTTGGTAGCAAACAGATATTCTGGTTATGTATTTAATGAAGTGTAGCCAAATGAAAACTAATATTTTCTAAAATCATTCCCATTGAACACTGCTTAACTTATTTCAACCTATCAAGTTTTTTGAATATAACTAAACCATGAACTATATATTTTTAGATGAAAAGCAGTTATTATGGATGTCATAGAATAATCATAGAGTCCACCTGGTTGGAAGAGACCTCAAAGA